GTGAGAAGTGTGTGTGTGTGTGGGGGGGGGGGGTTCTTTGATGTTCTGTGGATACCATTTGAGACCGCGGCATTAAATGCGGCTTTACAATTTCTGTCATAGATCCTCCCATCCCCTCCCTCCGCCATCTTCATGAGTCTTATTGCTCATTTCCTTCTTTTTCTTTAACTTGCACCACTCATTATATTTCTACGACCCAATTTCCTGCACTTTCTCCCGGTGTTGGACGTCACAATAAACACTCTTGCAGTTGTGATTTAGGAGCAGTTACATCTTCTTCATGGTTGAGCTACAGTGGCCTTCTGACAGGGCCGTTTAGCAGGGTGCTTAGCAAGAGGCCGATAAGACATTGGCAGCCACTTGGAATCAATTCGGCCATGCCTTACCCTCAGTAAGCCCACAGTCGCTGAAGTCCCATTCCCATGCGCTTGTGATTAAGCCCGGTGTGTAAGGGCTGAAGTAGATATTCAGAAAGCTGCAGCAGACATGCCACATTTGATAAGTCTTTGGTTGGAGATGCATTTATATGAATAACAGTGTCCTCCAGGGAAGCTTCTGCTTAATGTTTCATGGACTTATTTCGTCTGTGCCTCTCTGTCATCTGAGATTTGCTGCTGTCTGATGCGACACTCAGAAACATGAGGTGTTCCCTGTGATCATGGCTCCTCTGACACAGAAGCCTGAGGTGTGTGAAGGGTAAAAATGGATGTACTTTCACATACACACTCACATATACTGCATTCGTAAGGCATGGCTGCGGACGTCGACGTACAATATTGAGTCCACATTCACTGGGTCACACTGTGTTCTCACGCGAAGCCCACATGGGTGAGACACAGCTGAGACAAACACACACACACAGATGAGATGTGACATGTTGACTAAATACAGGACAGGATGCACACCATTCAGCCTAGAGTAAAGAATGATCATGCATGACGTGCACTTTCACAGAAGCATGTAGCCTAACCTTTCCCCTGCTGATGAATGAGTCACCACCCAGATGCCAAAAGGTGACCTTACCCTGTGTGTG